GTTTCAGCAGGTACTTTGACAGACTTTTTCGTATCTTTGGTCTTCTTTCCTTTGGGTTTAAGAACACTGTAAAATAAATTTTAAAATTCAGCTTAATCCAAAATAATGTACCCCTTTCAATCATCATCTTGTTCCCAAAACACTTGAAAAAGTGAGATGCATTTTAAAGACAAATTTATTAGTTGATCCTCACATCTCAAATCAACAACTTTAAAGGAACTTAGTAATCATGTCAAATGCCAAATTTGGCACAAAAATTAAGGAATTTACTTAAAATAGTTGAAACAAAAGTTAAACAAGACCTCTAAATTATCTCTGAACACTTATACAGTGTGGAATTTTTTTGTTTTGTTTTGTTTTGGTTTTTTTTGTTTTGTTTTGTTTTTTTTTTTTTGGCTATAGGACACGTACGCTGACAGAGACAGAGGCGGGGAACAAGTGAAAGTGAGAAAGCACCTCCTGGGAGGATGACCTTGCAACAATCCTTTCTCCTCCATTTTCCTCTAGGGATTCTGGGCATGCACATAAATGTGCCTGGCATGCTTATTCAAACTGCCACGTTTGGGGTTCAAATCATGTAGTCAGCTATATAGGATCCAGCCACCCTAACCACCGTGCCACCTGGTTGGCCCTACAGCACGTTTTTATAAGAGGCAAAGAACCAATACTCTGTTTCTTGAAACAAATCTTTACAACCAAATAATCTATGACATCATGGTTCCCAAAACACATTAACTTTTTGAACCCAATTCAGTCTAAGACAGACATTTCAACAGTCTCACAGGAAATGAGAAAAATAAAAATGTATTTTTTATAAAATGAACTTTTTGCTCAATGTTAGAAATCTAGTTTTACTAAAAAATTATGTCCTTTCAGTTTATGTGGTGGGTTTTCCCCTACTATACTCTTTATACCAGAAACTACCAACCAGCAGTTGTCAGGGTTTTCATATTCTGCTGGAATTCAACATTCCTCTACTCAATCTCCTACATGAGCTGAATTTTCCTTAGTCACCTTAGACATTCCCTCATTTGTAATAACCAAATTCTTGGATTAAAAGTCTGGATAGAAACCCAGCTACAGTGGCACAGGGAGTAGGAAGCCGCTGCAGAAGAGGGTAGGAGGTGTCTACCCCAGCCTGCCAGCAGTGAACACTCAAAATCCTTTTCTCCCAAAAGTAAAATGAGAACGCTGAACTACAGTAGTGATTACCAAACTCTGAGAACTCCATTTTCTTCCCAAATGAATTCTCATGTAGAACTAACACCAAATCAAGAAATGCTTGGGACTAGCAGATGGCATGACAGTTACATCGCTGGACTATCATATAGTTGACCCTGGTTTGAGTCTCAAACCCAGAAGCTTAAACTCATGCTGGGCACATGTGCGTGAGTGCCCAAGATCCCGAGAGGAGAATGGAGAAGGGACTGTGGTATGGCCACCCCCGGGGGCTGATTTCTATCTCTCTCTCTCTTTCTCCGGCAAGTGCACGCACCCTATAGCAAAAAACTCTCTAAAAATAAATTAATTAATTAATTAAATGTTAGACGTTACCTGAGTGTGTGGGTCCTCATCTTCCTTTTTCTACAGCTAGAACTTATCTCTAGTCTTTGGTCAATGTCTGCTTTCCTCATTCAAACCACCAAGTCCCTAAATAACTCCACTGCCACATCACAGTTGCTCCACTATTAAAACACTTTCAACTCCTGCTACCACTTTACTCTGTCCCTTCAATTCTTTTTACATGGTCCTATAATGCCAGAAACCTGAAGCAACCTACTGTTCAGCTCTTCCCCAAAGAGTAAGAAATGATTCTCTATATAGAGAAGAGAAGGATAGAGACAAGAAATTCGGACAAGGAGAGAAAGGAGAAAAAAAGGCCTGGTTATCTTGTGGGAAAACCTTCCCTGGCCCACCACCAGGTCTAGTACAGAACCAGGATCCCAGGGCTCTGTTGAGCAGAAATGCCCCAAGCTGCTGCCAGTTGTCCTGAAACAATGGTGCCAAATACAGGCAGACTGTCACAAACATGGAGGTTTAGTTACTGATGCTGCAGGGCAGGGCACAGACTCCCCAATGGGCAGGAAAACACTTGGCAGCAGCCCTGTTTTTATGTGAGTGTCAGGACAAATTAAGAACTGCACCAGGATAAGGGAAAGGAAAACTGGCCTCAGGTGACTTCCTGC